TATGGGGGATATTGATTCGAAAATCGTCTTTTTCGATAATCGTCACACTTCCAGGAACGGATTAATGACGATAAATGAGGTACCACTGTACAGGCCTTTGTTGTACACCACTTGGCAGTATGGTAGTACCTCCCTGGGCAGTTGCTGTAAACAAGCCTTCTACCTAATAATGATGGCTTTGGATGGTTTTATTATGTAGAAAGAATAGACAAGATAGTTTAACCCCTTGATTGTCGCAACCCAAAATCCTGAGGTGTCTCCTGGTGTCGCAAACACCCCCCCCCCCCCCCCCCCACCACCACCACCACCACCACCACCACAAAAAAAAAACTTTCTTACGAAATGATAGAGAATATTTTCCCGGTTGTAATGACACCAAAAGAACAAAATTTGATGGAAAACTGACGGAATTATGCTCTCGTGAAGTTAGTGACTTCGGTGATATTTACGAATCGGCGATTTCGCCCACTTTGAGCCCTATTTTCAGCTAATTCCATTGTTCCAATTGACCAAACTCATAGCTATTTCTTTAGCACTTCATTTTTTTCTATCGATTGAGTACAAGAAACTGCCTGTTTACCGATTTTAACTACCCAATAACGTGGTCAGAAATTTGCAATTTGGCCAATTTCATGAAAATTAAAAAATATGACAATTTCAAAATTGGGTCCAGAATGAACAGTGCAGACATTCCTGGCTCTAAAATAACATTTTCTTTGTTCATCAGTCAAATCTCCAGGCCACTCTGATATTACTCTTGCTTTCTTTTTTTAATTTTTATTCTAACAAAAAATAGAAGATTTACTGTTATGCAGACTACTGCAATATTGTAATAATTGTATAAATAATGTCAACCCATTCATGACTGCATATTAGAATGGCTAGTTGGACATTTATTGGAAAATGACATTTGTTTACTTTTGAACATTGGCAAAAATCAAACATTTCCCCCACTTTGAGCTTCATTTCAAGGTTCTTCTCATAGTAAAACTTATCAAAATCACCTCTATTTATATAATATGTTTTCCATTCTATCAAATGAGACCAAGAAAACGAGAATGCAACCATAAATACTATACGAAAATAGACAACAAAGTTGGCATTTTAATTAAAAACGGTTGGAGTTTTTTTTCACATTATGCACTGCGTGCTGCAGGATTTTTTTATATGGTGCACACTGACCACACAGACCCATTCTCTCACATGCGGGTCTACCAGCTTTCTCCTGCTTGATTTGAAGCTACTAGAATTTATGAGTATATATACGTCAAAAACGGTGGCTCGTAAGACATATATACGACCAAAACAGTCAAAGGGTTAAGAGGACTTATACATCTGTCATGTATGGAAGTTTTTGTATAAAGAAGGGTGTAAAGGTGGTACTGAAATAGGGTTAAACATCCAGCACATATATATACGAGTGTGTTAGTTGAGAGTGGGGGCAAGAGGTCTCAGGGATTTGGTACACTGTTGGAATTTGTGCTAAGCAGTGTTATTTGGAGTGGATTTATTATAATGTATATGGAAGATTAAATGTATAGAAAGAGATTTGTTAGCCCTTAAATTTCTTTGAGTGCCCAGATCTTATTTGAGAAGGAAAAATAATGACTAATAATTTTACCTGAAATATACATAAGTTCATATAAATGAGGTCCACCTCTGGTGTAAATTGTGGGACCCATAGCCATGGAGAAGTGGATAAAAAGGCTTCCAGGAAGAATATTTGGATTTCTTCCTGAAGCCATTTCAATATTCCACTTCCCCTACCACCCCATCTTTTCATTCTTTTTTACCAATAGGTATATTTTATTATATAATAAGGTACAGAAGATTTGAGAGATACATTGTTGATATAAAGTTGGTACATACAGTACATGAGGTGAGAGAGATACTTTTTTTTTTTTTTTTTTTTTTTTTTTTTTTTTTTTTTTTTTCCAACAAGTCGGTCGTCTCCCACCGAGGCAGGGTGACCCAACAAAAAGAAAGAAAATCCCCAAAAAGAAAATACTTTCATCATCATTCAACACTTTCACCACACTCACACATTATCACTGCTTTTGCAGAGGTGCTCAGAATATAACAGTTTAGAAGCATATACGTATAGAGATACACAACATATCACTCCAAACTGCCAATATCCCAAACCCCTCCTTTAAAGTGCAGGCATTGTACTTCCCATTTCCAGGACTCAAGTCCGACTATATGAAAATAACCGGTTTCCCTGAATCCCTTCACTAAATATTACCCTGCTCACACTCCAACAGATCGTCAGGTCCCAAGTATCATTCGTCTCCATTCACTCCTATCTAACACGCTCATGCACGCTTGCTGGAAGTCCAAGCCCCTCACCCACAGAACCTCCTTTACCCCCTCTTTCCAACCCTTTCGAGGACGACCCCTACCCCTCTTTCCTTCCCCTATAGATTTATATGCTTTCCATGTCATTCTACTTTGATCCATTCTCTCTAAATGACCAAACCACCTCAACAACCCCCTTCTGCCCTCTGACTAATGCTTTTATTAACTCCACACCTTCTCCTAATTTCCACACTCCGAATTTTCTGCATAATATTTACACCACACATTGCCCTTAGACAGGACATCTCCACTGCCTCCAACCGTCTCCTCGCTGCTGCATTTACCACCCAAGCTTCACATCCATATAAGAGTGTTGGTACTACTATACTTTCATACATTCCCTTCGTTGCCTCCATAGATAACGTTTTTTGACTCCACATATACCTCAACGCACCACTCACCTTTTTTCCCTCATCAATTCTATGATTAACCTCATCCTTCATAAATCCATCCACCGACATGTCAACTCCCAAGTATCTGAAAACATTCACTTCTTCCATACTCCTCCTCCCCAATTTGATATCCAATTTTTCTTTATCTAAATCATTTGATACCCTCATCACTTTACTCTTTTCTATGTTCACTTTCAACTTTCTACCTTTACACACATTCTCAAACTCATCCACTAACCTTTGCAATTTTTCTTTAGAATCTCCCATAAGCACAGTATCATCAGCAAAAAGTAACTGTGTCAATTCCCATTTTGAATTTGATTCCCCATAATTTAATCCCACCCCTCTCCCGAACACCCTAGCATTTACTTCTTTTACAACCCCATCTATAAATATATTAAACAACCATGGTGACATTACACATCCCTGTCTAAGACCTACTTTTACCGGGAAGTATTCTCCCTCTCTTCTACACACCCTAACCTGAGCCTCACTATCCTCATAAAAGCTCTTTACAGCATTTAGTAACTTACCACCTATTCCATATACTTGCAACATCTGCCACATTGCTCCTCTATCCACTCTATCATATGCCTTTTCTAAATCCATAAATGCAATAAAAACTTCCCTACCTTTATCTAAATACTGTTCACATATATGCTTCAATGTAAACACTTGATCTACACATCCCCTACCCACTCTGAAACCTCCTTGCTCGTCCGCAATTCTACATTCTGTCTTACCTCTAATTCTTTCAATTATAACCCTACCGTATACTTTTCCTGGTATACTCAGTAAACTTATTCCTCTATAATTTTTACAATCTCTTTTGCCCCCTTTCCCTTTATATAAAGGGACTATACATGCTCTCCGCCAATCCCTAGGTACCTTCCCCTCTTTCATACATTTATTAAACAAAAGTACCAAACACTCCAACACTATATCCCCCCCTGCTTTTAACATTTCTGTCATGATCCCATCAGTTCCAGCTGCTTTACCCCCTTTCATTCTACGTAATGCCTCATGTACCTCCACCACACTTACATTCTGCTCTTCTTCACTCCTAAAAGATGGTATACCTCCCTGGCCAGTGCATGAAATTACAGCCTCCCTTTCTTCCTTAACATTTAAAAGTTCCTCAAAATATTCTCGCCATCTACCTAATACCTCCCTCTCCCCATCTACTAACTCCCCTACTCTGTTTTTAACTGACAAATCCATACTTTCCCTAGGCTTTCTTAACTTGTTTAACTCACTCCAAAATTTTTTCTTATTTTCATTAAAATTTCTTGACAGTGCCTCTCCCACTCTTTCATCTGCTCTCCTTTTGCACTCTCTCACCACTCTCTTCACCTTTCTTTTACTCTCCATATACTCTGCTCTTCTTATAACACTTCTGCTTTGTAAAAACCTCTCGTAAGCTACCTTTTTCTCTTTTATCACACCCTTTACTTCATCATTCCACCAATCACTCCTCTTTCCTCCTGCCCCCACCCTCCTATAACCACAAACTTCTGCCCCACATTCTAATACTGCATTTTTAAAACTATTCCACGTATTTATCACTGATTATACATGTAATGTGAAAATCTCATCCAGCTCCTCAGAGCTGGGGCATGTGCCCAAAATACAGCAGGCATTACCCCTCTGAAGAGCAGCACTGAGTCGCTGGAACAGAAAACTAGCTGCCCTGGGATCCTTAGTTACCTGATGAGTCTTTTGCCTAGCTCCTTAAGGAACTTAGATGCACTCTTTCCCCATGAGCCAAGGGTCTCTGAGCCTATGGAAACAAACATATAATAATGAGCATGTTTTCCATATTTTCTAGACTTTTGGGACTTCCTGAAGCTGGTGGCTGCCCCTCCTTCCTCCCTAGTGTATTAGAGATAGGTATCAGCCAAGGTAGATGCACATGTGTAGTCTCACACCACCTGCTTGCTGTCTGTCCAGGCATGATGGGTGATACCATCTGTATGCTTCTGGCTGCCATCAGATCTGCATAGTTGGGGTGGCTCCCTTACTGCTGAGCATCGGTCTGTTGCTTCACTGCCACAAATACACCCATGTTCAGCGAGAATAGGGGTGGCAAGTCGAAGTGCAACACCTGTGCGGATTGTCTGTGGGTCTAGGCGTGTCCCAAGGCTAGAGTTGGGAACAGCCAACAGAAAGTCCCCTGCATGAGGAGCTCTCATTGCCAGGAGGCAGGCTCTACTTTTATAAAATTTAATTGAATACAAATTTACATTTCAGCGAAATTCAGTTGAAGACCCCAGTGAAAAGGAAAAGGTTTGTCGAGTATGTGAGCGTGGTTTGGGTCTTATCTTCTGTTGCCTGTGTCCTGCTGCATACCACTCAGAGTGCCACGATCCACCACTTCAAACACGTGCAAGGTCAGTTTACATCTATATATGCAGTGGAATGAATGGGTCCTTACAGGCATCTCTCACTTTAGTCAGGCTCCAGGGTGACATAGGCTCCAGGGGGTACCTGCTCTGGCTCTTGAGGTCCCCTTCTCTGGCTCCCAGTGGACCCCTGCTCTGGCTCCTGGGGGACACCTGCTTTGGCTCCTGGGGGATTCCTGCTCTGGCTCCCAGGGAGGCCCCTGCTCTGGCTCCCGGGGAGGCCCCTGCTCTGGCTCCTGAGGAGGCCCATGCTCTGGCTCCTGGGGAGACCCCTTCTCTGACTCCCAGGGGGACCCCTGCTCCGACTCCCAGGGGGACCCCTGCTCCGACTCCCAGGGGGACCCCTGCTCTGGTTCCTGGGGGGTACCTGCTCTGGCTCCCAGGGAGGCCTGTGCTCTGGTTCCTGGGGGGGACCTGCTCGGGGTCCCAGGGGAACCATTCTCTTAGCTCTGCAAGGAAAGGGTGTGTGGGAGGGTGATGGGATATTAAGAAGCCAGTTTTCCATGCATTTCATTGTATCTGTATGTGTCACACACATTCTTAGCTCAGTGTACATCACTCTGGTTTTGCTTCTTTTCATCACCCCATCTTGTCATGGCTTCCTAACAAAGTGCATGTGATGTTGGTGAAGCAAGGAAGAAGATTAATCATGAAATGATACCTATTGTGATAAAAATCAAGATGCTGAAGGGTAGTGCACCCTTTTTTGAGATGGCATGAGTGTTTGGTATTGGAGAATTGATGATTCTGTCAATTCAGGACAAAGAGGCAAAGATAAGTGCTTTTACAATGAATAATACTCAGTGTGGCACAGTGAAAACAATGAGGAATGGGTCCACTGTTATGTCCACTCACTCCAATATGTTAAGCATCATGAACTCCAGCTTAAAGATGCAGTCATCCTTCGGTATCATGAGGGGATTGGTTCCAGGAACCCCCACCAATACCAAAATCAGCCAGTGCTCAAGTCCCTTGTGTAAAATGGTGTAGTATTTGCATATAACATACACATAACGAGGAGGCAGCTGGAAGCAGTGGAGATGCCGTGTCTAAGGGCAATGTATGGTGTAAATAATATGCAGAGAATTCAGTGTGGAAATTAGGTGTGGAGTTACTAAAAGTATTAGTCAGAGGGCTGAAGAGGGGTTGTTGAGGTGGTTTGTTCGTTTAGAGAGAATGGATCAAAGTAGAATGACTTGGAGAGTGTATAAATCTGTAGGGGAAGGAAGACTGGTTAGGGGTTGTCCTTAAAAAGGTTGGAGGGAGGGGGTAAAGAAGGTTTTGTGGGTGAGGGGCTTGGACTTCCAGCAAGCATGTGTGAGCATGTGAGATAGGAGTGAATGGGGATGAATGGTTTTTGGGACCTGACGAGCTGTTGGAGTGTGAGCAGGGTAATAATTTTGTGAAGGGATTCAAGGAAACTGGTTAGCCGGACTTGAGTCCTGGAAATGGGAAGTACAATGCCTGCACTTTAAAGGAGTGGTTTGGGATATTGCCAGTTTGGATCACGACAGCCAGGAAGACGATGGGGTAGGTATTAAGAACTTGGAAAATGAGGGAAATAATGCTGATGGTGACATAATTCAAATTGCTAGCGCTCCCTCATTTAGAATATTGCTCAGTACTGATGGCCCCATTCAGGGCAGGAGAAATATCAGAGCTGGCTCACATTGAGCCAATAAAGCACCTAAATTACTGGGAATGTCTTAAGTCTTGAACATATACTCATTGGAGTGGAGGAGAGAGAGATGCATGATAATAGTATATACCTGGAAAGCACTCAAGGGTCCGGTCCCAAATCTGCACACTGCCATTACAACATACTGGAGTGAGAGATATGGGAGGAAGTGTAAAATATACAGTGGAACCTCAAAATTCGAACTGCTCCCAACACAACCAATTATGTAAGTGTATTTTTGCAAGTGCTTTTATAAGTGCATTTTTGAGGGTCTGAAATGGACTAATCTAATTTACATTATTCCTGATGGGAATAAATTCATTCAGTAAAGGCACTAGAACAGCCTTCTGGACCGAAGAAAGTTCGATATTTGAGGTTCCACTGCACCCAGTGTGGAGCAGGAGTGTGGTGGAGACAATGAGGGAACACTGTATAAACATCCTGGGTCCCAGACTATTCAACATCTTGCCAGAAGATATCAGAAACAAGGTTGGAGCAATTGTAGAAGCCTTCAAGAGGAAACTGGGTAAGTATCTTCACCAGGTGCCAGATCAACCAGGCTGTGATGGATATGTGAGGCAGTGGGCCTCCAACAGCAACAGCCTGGTTGACCAGGCAAGCACCAGATGACCCTGGCCTATGGCCGGGCTCCAAAAGTAGTGAAACTCTCAAACTCTTCAAAGGCATGTCAGGGTAAGGCAGCAAGGATTGATGGGATAAAGATAGAAATGTTAAAAGCCAGTGGGGATATAATTTTGGAGTGGTTGGTGCTTTTATTTAATAAATGTGTGGAAGAGGGTAGAGTACCTAGGGATTGGCAGAGAGCATACATAATTCCTTTGTATGAAGGTAATGGGGACAAAAGAGAGTTCAAAAATTATAAGGAAATAAGTCTGTTGAGTATACCTGGTAAAGTGTATGGTAGTTATTACTGAAAGAATTAAGAGTAAGTCGGAGAGTAGGATAGCAGATGAACAAGGAGGCTTTAGAAAGGTAGTGGGTGTGGAGACCAAGTGTTTACAGTGAAACATATAGGTGAACAGTATTAAGATAAAGGTAAAGAGGTTTTTGTGGCATTTATGAATTTGTAAATGGCATATGACAGGGTGGATAAGGGAGCAATGTGGCATATGTTGCAAATGTATGGAATAGGAAGTAGGTTCCTGAAATCAGTGAAGAGTTTTTACAAAGATAGGCTCAGGTTAGAGTATATAGGAGATGGGGTGGTAAGAGAAGTAAATGCGCAGGTGTTGGCAAGAGGTGTGAGGTTCAAAGATAAAGAATCTAACACAAAGTGGGAGTTGTCACCATTGCTCTTTGCTGATGACACTGTGCTTTTGGGAGATTTGGAAGAGAAGTTCCAGAGGTTGGTGGATGAGTTTGGTAGACTATGTAAAAGAAGAAAATTAAAAGCAAATATAGGAAAGAGTAAGGTGATGAGGATAAAAAAAATTAGTGACGGAAGATTGGATATCAGATTGTAGGGGGAGAGTATGGAGGAGGTGAATGTATTCAGATATTTAGGAGTGGACGTGTTAGCAGATGGGTCTATGAAGGATGAAGTGAATCATAGAATTGATGAGGGGAAAAGGTTGAGTGATGCACTTAAGAGTCTTTGGAGACAAAGAACTTTGTCTGTGGAAGCAGAGGGGAATGTATGAGAGTATAGTTTTACCAACACTCTTATATGGGTGTGAAGCATAGGTGGTGAATGTTGCAACAAGGAAAAGGCTGGAGGCAGTGGAGATGTCATGTCTGAGGGCAATGTGTGGTGTGAATATAATGCAAAGAATTCATAGTTTGGAAATTAGGAGAAGGTGCAGGATTACCAAAACTATTATCCAGAGGGCTAAGGAAGGGTTGTTAGAGGTGGTTCAGACATGTAGGGAGGCTGGAACAAAATAGAATGACTTAGTGTATAAATCTGTAGTGGAGGGTAGGCAGGGTAGGGGTCAGCCTAGGAAAAGTTGGAGGGAGGGGGTAAGAGAGGCTTAGTGTGCAAAAGGCTTGGACTTTCAGCAAGTATACATGAGCATATTTGATAGGAGTGAATGGAGTGCTGTTGGAGTGTGAGCAGGGTAACATTTATGAAGGGATTCAAGGAAACCAGCATGCCGGACATGATTCCTGGAGATGGGAAGTACAGTGCCTGCACTCTGAAGGAGGAATGTTATTATTGCAGTTTTATAACTGTGGTGTAAGCACACCTCTGGCAAGACAGTGATGGATGAATGATGATGAAAATTTTTCTTTTTCGGACCACCCTGCCTTGGTGGGAAACGGCCGATGTGTTAAGAAAATAAATGCAGTGGTCTCTCGTTTATCGTCCTTAATCCGTTCCTGGAAGTGGGACTATTATCGAAATAGACGATTTTCGAATCAATTTTCCTCATAAGAAATAATGTAAATACAATTAATCCATTCCTGACACCTAGAAATATTCAAACAAAAAATTTTTTTACATGAAATGTAGATGTAGTACATAAGCAGTACAATGGGACACGATGACTGAAACATTAACAGCATAACACTTACCTTTATTGGTGATTCTTCTTAGTGTATGGAAGACTGGAGGAGGAGAGAGATTGAATTACTGTTTGGAAGGGGAGTCCCCTTCCATCAACACCTCAGGCACCAAGTGCTTTTCTGGGGTTACTTCTCTTTTCTGTTTCTTAATGCCACTAGGACCAGCTTGAGAGTCACTGGAGTCCTGTTTTGCAAAAGAAAACTGTCCAGAGGGCTCTGTTTCTGGCATCTCTTTAAAACTTCCCTAAAATGGGCCAAGACTCTGTCACTGTACAAGTTGCCAATATGGCTTGCAACATCCTTCTCAGGGTGATGTTTCTCCATAAATCTTTCCATCCTACCCCACATTTCAAAAATCTCCTTAATTTCTGAAGAAGGCACCTTCTTCCATCTCTCTTCCTCCTCCTCTGCAGCAAGATTCTGAGCAGCAATCTGTTCCTGTTCCTGCTGAAGCTCTTGCTGCTCCTCAGCTGGCCAGTTCGGCCACACGTATGCCACTTTCACATTGTTCAATGATGTTTTTCTTAAATTCAATCGTATTTCTCACTTTCTTTACCAAAGAAGGAGGTTTCTTTGAAGCCATGGTAGCTTATTTAGCACTTGCAAGCACTAAAATGAATGGATTATGAAATATTTCCTATGAACAAATGAGGGGATAGAGAAATTGAGGAAGTTGCCTACTTCAAAGATTAAGGAAATGTGTGCAATGTGGCTTAAAGTGCAAACCTTTTTTGATGAAAATCACCCTCACACAGCTATTGCAAGCCGTGCTGGTGACTATTAC